TCACCGCAGCTGCCGCAGCTGTTTGCTGAAAGCTCAGGTGGTTTTTTGCCCAGTTTACCAAGTGAATCGGGCTTCTTTGTTTGACGAATTGCTGCAGTCTCCGGTTTATGAAAACCTGTTCCAGATGAAGAGACCATGTTGATCCATGTTGTCAGTGGGACAAAATTGCTATCAGACACTCTCTTTGTTTGTGTGTTTTTTTGGAAGTGTGAATTGTGAATGAGAAGAGAACAGGGCCACGTTTTTCGTCCGAGAACAAGACTATATAATCAATATTAATTAAGTAACAGTATATGAGAATCCGACAAAATCAGGGGAGATTAAAGCAGTCACACGTATAGGACAGCTGCATGAGACGTGCACAACCGAGGGTCCGACCAATCTGCCATGCCCTTTGCTTAACCCACAAAGCTGGTTTATTCAGCTGGGAACTATGTCCTTAGGCTAGGCTCCGGCACTCAAAGAATCAGTAACTCCACTGAAACGCAATGTTGGATGGTCGACCGCGGTCGGTTACCGAGCCCCTTTGGTATCGGGGCATGACTGACATAGCCATAGAACTGCATGAGACGGTGCACCCAGCGAGGTGGTGCATCACCTTTGCTGATCTCAAGTTCTTCCGGTCTGAAGTCCATAGGGCCATCCAAGATGGCCAGAACTTTCAGGAGAACTTCGAAGCTTCGTATGGGCCAAGCATTTATGCAGTGAATGAACATTACATCAAGCCGGTCACAGCGGCTGCTGGCAAAATGAGCTGGGCGTTGATGATGAATCCTCATGGACTTGACTGTGATTTGTTTATTACTCATGCTTGGCAGGAAGATGTGTTCGAGTTCACCGATAAAGTGCTGACATCCTGGCCTCGGGGTGCATGCCACGCTTGGTGTTGTATGCTTGCAAACCCACAGAATTTAGATATTGGCGCCTTGCTTCAGTCACCATCAATGTCGCCTTTCGCACTTGCGCTGCAGAGCTCCAAGTACATGTTGGTGGTGCCTACCCGGCACAAGAGTGTCTACACAAGGTTGTGGTGTGGCTATGAAGCCTACCTGGCCTTTCAAAGTAACAAGATCATTCGGACAGCTACACCTTCGATTTGGCGATTAGTTATGTGTTCTTGGCTCAGGATGTTTCCCGCGCTGCTGATGGGCCTCATAGTCGGCATGCTCTTCAATTTAGGGCAGTTGGACCTATTCCTAAAATTCATAGCAGCAATGAGAATCTCAGTTGGCTAACTTGAGTAGCCGTTTACTGTAATCTCCTGAATTTGGCCTCCTGGGGTAATAACAATTGTGAAATGCACTGTCAAGCTTTTTTTGCTAACAATATGTTTACACAATTTTGGGTAAGCTAACATCATCCTTACCCCGCCAAAAGCCGTACAAGCGAGGAATGATAGCGCTTTTTGCAAGCCTGGTGAGTCAACACTGTGGTCAGATGCGGCTGTGCTTGGTTGCCAACCATGTGGGCCTACTAGCCAGTACTTCGGCGGCTTTTGTTCCAAGTGGAACACTTCTGAGACGATTTCCAAGTCTTCCTCTTCCTGGGTGGACAGCACATATGATTGTGTATTGGCATCGTATTTGCATTTTGGTTTATTTCTTACTTGCTGAAGTTGACCGCGTGAATTGCCAAACAGAAACGGAAGAGGCAGAAGCGTTGCAAAATCAATATCAAGGGTCAATTCGTCACGCATCTTGCTCAGAAGTTCAAGACGAAGTGAACATTCGGCATGAGATAGGTGACCAGGTTGATGAAGTTGACCAGGCAATACAGGTTCTGTTGAAGGCTGGTATGACATCAGATGCACTTCGAGCCGCATATTTACAGGGAGTTGAGCTTCGACATGCTGGATCCGTTCAAGTGGCCATCCCCGTGCTTGTGCTCGGGCCTTTGTTACTGTTGGGTTGTGGGCTGATGGGGCAATACTTTGTTTTGCTTTGTAGAGCTGGTCATCCACTTGCAGAAGTCTATACACTTTGGGCATCCATTCAATCCACATCAGTCCTTGCTAGGCTTGCCTTCTTATGTTTGTTTGTCAGACGCTCCATCGATGAAAGATGTTTCATGCTGAACGTGATGGCAAAGATTGTGACGGTTTTCTA